TATCGTAGAAATCTATACAAGTGCGTTTTAGAAGACCTAATTTCATAAATGATTTATTACGAACGTAATCAAMATGCTTATTAAAAGACAGTTTTGAATCAAAAATCACACCTAAGTCTTTGATAGTATCATTATGGGTTAAGCTAAGTTTATTCAAGGAGTAATCAAAATATAAAGTGGATTTTTTAATGAATATGATACAGTGGAGCATTTATTAATGTTCAATGACATACCATTCTTGTGGCACCATTWATAAAAGTTATCTAAATCAATTTGAAAGTTGTTAGAATCATCAATACAATTAATTATTTTGACTCTCCTTATTTCGCACTCCTGACCAGCAAGATCCACGAGGCCTGCATGACTGAAACAGTCGTCGGAAACGGTAGTAAATCCGTCTACTGGTGGTCTCCAGTTATTCAGCAGTTAAGGAAAACCGCTAACCACACGCGTAGGCTTTTCCAAAGGAACAAGAAACGCAAGGGCCCGATCGCTGTTGCACTGGAAGAAAAAGCCGCCAAAGAGGCCAAGCTTGAGCTAGTCAAGGCTATAAAAGCGGCCAAGGACAGTACACGGAAGGCGCTCTGTGACCARGTCGAAACGACCCTTGGGGCACTCCCTATAAAATAGTCATGGGCAAGCTAAGAAGGCACTAACCGATCCCAGGTCTCGACTCCYCCAGCATTGTCGGCCGTATAGTCGATGTCTTCTTCCCCGCACACCCAGCCACTGGCCCAGCATTCCGGAACAAGATCTCACCAGAGTCTCCATCACTCACGATGAGGTACAACTTGCGGCAAAGCGAACCAAGAACAACATCGCACCGGGACCTGACGGCATCCCTAACCAGGCCATGAAACTTCTGGCCGCTAAACGCCCAGCGCTGCTCATTTCGGTGTTTAATAAGTGCCTCAGTTAGAGGCCTRGAAGTGCGCGCGGCTCGTCTTACTCAGGAAAGGAGACAAGTCTCTTCAAGACCCTTCGTCCTACAGACATCTCTGCTTGCTGGACAGCGCATCTATGCTGCTGGAGAAGGTGATCGACAACAGGCTTAGAATGCATCTGGACACCAACAATGGCCTCAGCGACTACCAGTTCGGGTTCCGCAGTRGCAGATCAACTACCGAYGCGGTGAGTTTGCTAATGTCCACCACAGAAAACGGCGGCTCCAATGCCATGACCGGGGTCCTCACACTGGACATCCGCAATGCTTTTAACTCGGCTCCGTGGTCTAGGACTCTCGAAGCCCTCCGCGACAAAGACACGCCTGTCTATCTCTGCAGGATTATTGACAGCTATCTTACGGAACGCTCGATCACCTACACCACCTAGAGAGGACAAACAAAGATGAAGCRTTCCAGCGGCGAACCACAGGGCTCAGTACTTGGCCCTACACTCTGGAATGTTCTCTACGATGACCTACTCAACGTGAAACTCCCACTTTCTGTCACTCCTATCGCTTTTGCAGATGACATACTCCTTGTATCAAATGCCAAAGAAAATTTCATTATCGAAAAGGACCTCACGGCCGCTGCTAGTAGCGTCTGCGACTGGCTCAAGGAAGTGGGCCTGCAAATCGCCGCGCACAAGTCTGAAGTCCTTGTCATCACTACCAAGAGGACTCACACCAACGTAGATGTTACCGTCGAAGGCTCCATTGTTCARACAAGCAACAGCATCAGATACCTGGGAGTCCAAATCGACGCTAAGCTCAAGTTCAACGAGCACGCCAACATCTCATCAGCCAAGGCTAGTGCCGCATGCCAGAAATTAAGCAGGATAATGCCTAATACAAGATTAATATAAGTGCTGCAACTGCTAAAAAAAGAAGACTTCTCGGCAACGTCGTGCACTCCCTTCTCTTGTTCGGTGCACCGATCTGGGGCAACCGCATGAGTCCCACGGGCAAGTCTAAGATGGATATGGTCCAGCGCAAAACGGCGCTAAGGGCGTCTTTCGCCTACTGCACGGCAGGGGCGGGACACTTTTCGGCCAAAATGAACCTTTCCCTTTTCGGCCATCCTAGAATGACCGAAATCGGCCAGTACACTATTTTGGTCACCAATTAACTTAACTTCACGTTTTTTTTTNTATAAAACAAATACTTTTGGGGTCTATCATAGATTAATGTAGGTACCTACTCTCCGATAAATCATAATATACTAAAGTTTGGTAAATGACATCGTTTTCTTGCACATTATATATTATTTAATATTATTATCAGGGCTCATAACTTCTAGCATCTAGTTGGATACTTTGGTACCAATAGTTTTTAAAAGCACCATGAAAAACAAAAGAAAAAAGGTATGCAAGTGGATGTCGCTCTGCTGTACWGTAGGTTACAAGTGGGTCACTGTATAATGGATGGTATTAAATTTGAATTCAATGATATAATATCATTGTATAAGAAAAACGATTCTGAGTAGAGACGGTATGTCAGTGTAGGATTAAGACATATTATTATATACCTATAGGTACCTATAATAAATTATAAAATTAATCACTTAAAATGACTATAAAAATAAACTGTGCTTGTGTATTTTTTAGATTTTTTGGTAACAGAATAAACTACTTACATTGAATCTTGTTTTAAATTTTCAATCCTTAGCTATAAAAACTGAACATTTTATAATTTATTAATTACAATGATTGATAATTTTCGAGATTTTGATAAATTCTGTCCAAATTTGATCTTTAAATGCTTATAAAAAAAAACTGTGCCTATGTATTTTCAATATTTTTCAACGCACCTTGTGTAATGGCCCCATACCAGGGCGGTGTGGAACGATTGCAACATAACATAAAAAAAAAAAAAAAAACATTTTTTCCACCGGGTTAGTAATTTTAATGTTATTACTTCATCATAAATATAATGTACATTATAAATCCACCGGACAAATTTAGGTATTCAGAAACGATACAGAAACAAAAAAAAAACACTCCTCGTGCAACGAAAAAAAACTAAAATTGCAGCAACTGTATTATGGTATTGGTATGACTGAGCTTTTTTATAATTTGAACTTCAGCTAAGGAAGCTTTTGGGTCATTAAAAAATCCTGAAAAAATCAAATATAACATTTTAAAATTGTATTGTTAAGTAAAAATATATATATCTAAATTTTAGTTTTAGTTTTTTCTGATTAAAAATAGGTACATTTATTTATTTTCTCCTTGTAATATGMATATATTTACCACTAGTCTTCGATGTTTTATAGTAACATGTTGTTGTACCTACTATTCCACAAGCCACAAAATTTACCAAACTGACCATGTGTTAATTTTCTGTCAAACTCCAATAAAAATCTATCAGTTATCTGTTTCTTCGCCTATCAAAAAAATAAACATAAGTAAATAAAGTAAATGTATAAACTCATAATTGAATTAAAAGATTAAATTTTACCTGTACACAAGCCGGCTTCAATGAAGCTATCTTACTATAGTAATTTACTATTTCATGTAGAGTGTTGAAGGTTGTACGCCTTACAATGAAATATCCACTGTCGTAAAACCGTTTAATTCGGTAATGTCTGACTCTATCACCACAGCGAACTATAAATAAATGTACATAATATAGGTACAAGGTGTAACAGAAAGAACTGATTTTTGGAATAACTTTTGTTCTAATTAATATTTTTAATTTATCATTGAGAGACCTATGTAAAATTTATTTATTTTTATGTTTATTTTTTAGTACTGAAAATAAAAAAAAATAAAATTTGATTTAATCTATTTTAGATAAATTAAAAATAGCCAATTTGTGAATCTGATTATAAGAACAATTTTGATGGTAAAAAGATTTATCTTAGTCAAGTAGTTTATGCTCATTCTGTGGAAAAAAATATGTTTAATTAACTCACCAGACAAAGAGTAACCATGTATTTCACTCTCTGAATTTCTAATTAAAAATGATCCATTATCATTTATTGGCAAAAGTAATAATTTCTCAGCTTCTAATCTATTAATGTTGCCAAAATACCACTGCTCGACTTTTGTTTGTAAATGTTCTCCTTTCCTGAATTTGAAGTCTTCGTCGGTGCGTTCGCCATAATAGTAAAGTGCTCCAAATCTCTTTGCTGATGCGTATGTGGTGTTCGTAAGCACCAGATCTGGCATGGGCGGCAATGGCCTGCTCCTGACTTGAGGGTTGTCGTCGTGGGGTGGCATATTTTGAATGGGTACGCTACCCCTCTGATGACAGCTGAAGCAGCTGCCCATCTCGCGTATCTAAAAAAAAAGTACTGTGATGAGGATTCGTAATAAGGTATTCTTCTTTGGGTTTTTTTCTAGACTTAATTTCTAGAAACATCGCAGTAAATGTGTATTAGTACCTAGATAAATGTTTTGGTTTAGCATTTTCCCGCCATTTTTAAATATGAATAAACATTATTTAAATATTATTTACATTCATAATCATACAATTTTTGTTATCATGTTAAATTCATAAATTTACCGTTGTTATCATTTTAAAAGCCCGCCACTTGAGTATTGATAACCAGCAATAGCAATACCAGCTGGTATATTCTATATTCTTGTGTCCTAACCAGAAGGCCGGCTCACTTTTCTTATGGGGGATAGATTTGTCAAACCTGCTGAGATCATAGACTATGGCTGAGATATCAGTATAGACTATGTAGAGATAATAACATACGACGGTAAAATAAAATATATTCTCTTTTCTCTCCTCTATGGTTACTCTATGCTTATCCCATGAATACTAATAATCTAAGACCGTGCTAATAATTATCCCGTAAAAAATACGTAAAGCCATACTTCAACCGTTTCTTGTGCAAGTATAAAAAATGATTGTGCTTAAAGGCATGGTGTTTTTTTTGACAGTATTGTCTGCGTCTGCATATAGAAAGGTAATTTGAATACTAAATGTTATTTAATGGGGAGGTTTGGTCATTGCTCATTTTTGGATTCTTGGRAAATTTCTTATATAAAACGATATAACCGAATGTTTTTGAATAGTTGCAGGTTGAACACAACCCAGGTTGTCTAATGAAAGACATGTGTGCCAAAGTTTCAAAAGTAACATATATACGAGCCGATGG